AGGTTAAAAGGAGAGCGCGGTGATCCTGGCCCGCCTGGCCCACCTGGTCCACCAGGTCCTCCCAGTGTATTCAGAGAGACTAACCGTGGAACATCTGGCCCACCAGGATCTCCTGGGCTGCCAGGAAAAGATGGACACAGGGTTTGTGTGTCAAAAAGATGGTTTGTGTGTTTTTCCTTCACATCAGATTTTTTAAGTGAACTTTAAACTCACGAAGTAATAAGTCTTCTTGCACCGCTGACTTTCATGCTTCCTCGTGCTTTCAGGGAAGCAGAGGCGATAAAGGAGATCCAGTAAGTTAAACAGCACTGTGTCTGCTTATTTTTTCTGTTTCAGTTGCTACGCTCACTAATTGTATTTTCATCGTCAGGGCCAAAAAGGGTCTCAAGGATTTCCAGGCTTGAACGGAGAAGTTGGAGCTAAAGGAGAGAAGGTCCAGCTAATGCATCCATGTTGCATTTAATTAACTGTTTATTCCAAATGTGGTTTTATTTTATGATAATGAAAAGAAAAAGTTCTGTCTTTTTCTTCTGTACTTTACTCCTCCCTGCCTCCTTACAGGGAGACCCGGGAGCTGGTTTACCAGGCCCCCCTGGCCTTCCTGGACCCCCTGGACCCCCCAGATCACGCAGTGTACCTGTGAGTAACACTTTATGGTTTCGCTACTTCTTCCCAATGTGTGTCTGCTCAGATAATCTGTATTGTCTTGCATTTTAGCAATGATATCAAATGTAGGCAGCATAAATGAGACATGAATACAAAGAAAAACATCTTGATGAATGTGTTTTAGTATGGACCAGATGCCCTGGGTTCTGGGTTTGAAGACCTGGACAGCGATGCAGAACTCATCCGGGTAAGAGAAAGGACTAGTTAACAGATGCAAGAGTCTGACAGTCAATTATGGCAGTGAAAAAAAATCTAACATCTCCTTCCATTAGGGTCCTCCTGGTCCACCGGGCCCTCCGGGACCTCCTGGTCCCCCTGCACCCCACCTGTCCTCATCTGCCACCACTGAAGGACTTTCTCCTGGGCATGCTGGACCACCTGGTGCACCTGGCAGTGATGGCCTTCAAGGCAGACAAGGAGTACCAGTAAGTTAACCTTCAATTTAAGTGAAAAATAGATTGTTTTAAATACAAAAATCTATGTGATATACACTGATGGGATTCTGCAGACGTATGCAACCGTCCACACCTGCATGGTCCTGTGTGGAAAAAGTAACGCAGTGAAGACGTGTTGTCTGTGGTGACACATCACACTTCTCCATCTAACAAACCTATGGACAAATCCAGGTTTGGCAGTTGTAAGGATGGTGGTACTTGTCTTTGATTTCCTGGACGACCATGAATTCTGCTCTGCACCAGGAAAAGAGAAATTTCTGGCCATCAGTTTATTCGCTGAAGCTCAGTTAGGTTATGCAGCAGGGCGGTTATCCAGAACACACCAGCAAGTCCACCAAAAAAAAAGGTTTCTGGAGTGGACTAGTCAAAGTCCAGAGTTAAATGTGACTGAGATGCTTTGGCATGACCTCAAACAGGCTGGAAATCCTCCAGTGTGGATGAATTAAAATAATTCTACAAAGAAGGGCGTGCCAAACAAAGAAATGCTCTATGGCAGTAATTGCAAACACTTGATTGCAGTTCTTGCTGCCAAGAGTGGCACAACCAGTTGTTAGGTTTAGGGGGAGATTACTTTAACACACAGGACCTGGAAGACTTGGATAGCTGTTTTCATTTAGTAAAGAAAGTAATTTAAAGCTGCATTTTGTATTTACTTAGGTTATCTTTGTCTAATTTTTAAATTTGTCTGATGATCTGAAGAATTTAAGAGTGACAAATATGCAAAAAATAAGAAATCAGAACTACAGATGCTGTACAGACACTGGACAGACACCTCTGTTAGTAGAGCAGTGCTACATCAGGATACATTATTATAGCCTATAATATTGTTTTTTTCCTATGTTCTGTTTTACTGTACCTTCACATTTTATTTGGATCATTTCTCATTGAATTTGGCCGAGCATTGACTTTTTTCTCCTTCTCCACCTCCCAGTCTTTGCTCTGATTTTCTGTAGTGCATTTCTCAAACAATTAGATTACACCTTTATTTTATTTCTTAAATATTGTCATATTGTAGTGATTTGCATTTCTGTGTTTATATAAGCCAATGACCCATGTATACCAGCCGTTCTTTAACTGTCTGTCTCCATTTCATTGTCCTTTATCTCCATAATCTTTATTCGTCCCTTTATTGTTCGTCCTTCTTATTCCTACCTGGAATCTCTCCTGTTTGTTTCAGATGGTTGAGGATTGGTTTAGTGGTTCTGGGCCTGACGGTTCAGGTTTGAGCTCAGAGTTCTCCGCTGTCCTCACCTCAGACTTCGGCTCTAGTTCTGGTTCTGATTCTGACTTTGAGTCAGCATGGGGTTCAGGCGAGGTATACTGCCCAGTTTGCCTGGAAAACCAGCAAACAAAGAAAGGCAGAATTTCAGTCAGAGCTAGAGCATTGAGGTAGACAACATTTAGCTTTCACCGTGATAAAACGGTGTCAAAGCAATAAAGATGAACCTTAGCTAACTACCCTAATGCTCAGGCACAAATGACTGCACATTATCTCTAACTACGTTATCTTAACTGCTGGCTCGCTTGTGCCAAAGCTGAAGGTGATAATCGCTGTGCCATGAAACCCAAAGTGGTGCTTTTACTTTCAGTTCCAAAATTGTCATTGCCAAGGAAAGAAAATGAGCATGACATTTTACTCTATATGATGACAACTGAACTGAAAGGATCTGGCCACACTCTTATTGCTTATAACCTCATGCTTCTCTCACTGCACACGGTAAAGGAACTGCTCTGCCTTTTGCACCAGTCACATTCATTTTTTACTTCTGTTGGCTGATTTTACTCAGCGATATCAGGGATATATAAACTACTGTATATATATATCCCTGCGTCTGCTACTAAAGTTACAAATGGGCAATTTCTACATGAACCAAACAGTTGGTTAAGTAAAGATTTGTATGTGACAGTGCCACCAAGGTCACATGACAAAAAGCT